CATTTCTGTCATTTCCAAGTATTATCTTTGTTAATGATCCTTGCATCTCTTCATGTTGCTGCACAGTTTATAATGAAGCATTGAAATTACAGTCCTGTTATGCTGAATTTACATTGCACATATGTGTAATTTGCATATATCTGAATTGTAACTTTTGTATACTGGTATTATAAATTTTACCTGCGTATTCCTGTCAGTCTAATTATTCTTCTGAGAGTTCATAATTTGTTCCAGCATAAGTTCAGTGTAGCCTCCCTGCATTGGAATATATTTTAGTCAAAAAACAACCTTCTTATCTTGACATTTTTGAATCTAAGCAATGATTTTGCTCACCTTTTTGTATGTGAAGGTATTTAAAAGGTCACTGGAACAATTTGTGTCTGCAAATATTTGATAAGGAGCTGACTACACTTACTTAATTGCTTCTTGTGAGTTCATTGATGTTAGATAATCATCACATCTGCTTGTTGTGACATACATATTATTCTGCTTCATAAAAAAAAGCAACCAGCTGAGTACTTAAATAGCTTTTTATCAGATTCTTCTTTTTTTTATTGCATCATTGTGTTTCTTACCTCAAGTAGTTGATCAAACTCGACTGGTGCTTATATTAGTTGCATAAGGGAAGCAATTGAAACCTGCAAGAAAATGAAGAAGCCATTAGTTCTCATTTATTTATTGTTTGTGTCAACTGTTTTGAATTAGGAGTAATTTTACATCATTGTTGCTTTCTTCTTGGTGAATCATTTTCTCATAATTCTGAATCTGATATTGTGCCTCTGACATTTCCTGCTGCTTTGTTCTTCTTTCTAGATTCATGTTCTGTTATAATATACAGATTTCATGTTTTGACAGTTAGAAGCTTTCTCATCATTACATATTCCATGCATCTAACACACACAAGGAGATTGAATTCAAATGATCGGTGTACTAACCTTGGCTGTTGAGGTTTGTGGTTCCTCTTCGATCTTATTTCTGCCCCTTTGCCCTGCTTTGACGTGAGCAGAGCACAACCTTTTCTCCATGCATTGAACCTAATATTGTGCAAAAGCTAGCATTAGGTGTTTAAATTTGGTCTGATTACAAATGCCATGTAGCAGTATTTCTGGTTGTATTTGTGAAATCTTGCCAAAACTGCTAATTGAATTGATAGTCCTAGTGGTATGAATACTTGCATGAGCTGGTTTTTTAAATTATATACATGTACAGAATAATTGCATTAATAGAAAATACTAGTTGCACTATTTTGAAACCTGCAATTTTATCTTTTAGATTTTATAATTCTTTTACAAGAGGAATATAGAAAATGCAGAACATTTATGTGTGTTGTGGCTACAAAAGTACTTATAGAAATTGGTCAAGAAAAATGTGTTTTTGTGTCTGTGTATGTGTGTGATTCTGCTAGCTACATGATCCTCTTATCTCACGTAATATATGTTGGATCTGCCCCTTGTTCACAGTGAGGAACCATGGAACCAGGGCACCATGGAACCAGGGCTAGGCCCTGTTGCTGGATGAAGTACAAGGTGTAGGCTATCCTTTTGCTCTCTGATGACCACAGATTCCATGGATGTAACAATTACAAGCACATTGGATTGATAAGATTTATGTGCTAACCGTGGTTGTTGAGGTTTGTGCTTTCTCTTCGATCTAATCTGTGCTCCTTTCCTCTGTTCTTCATGATTTCTCCATCTTTCTCGTGCTCTACGTGAGTAGAGCAGCGCCTTTTCTCACGCAGAGCAGATCTGATCTCCACGCAGATCATTTCCCCTGTTTTCTTTACTTATTTTCCAAGTATACCTGTTATATTCCTATAGATTTCCTGTTTGTTGGGCTTATGGGCTGCTACATGTTTAGTGGGCCTCTCTCTTTCATCTTAGTTATTGGGTTTTTCAATTGCACAGAACTTACATCAAACAATAGCAACAGATTTGATCTGTGTGGGTCCTTTTTTGTCTGATGGAATTTGTGTGCTAGCTTCTCCTAAAACACATGGTTTTTTCCCTATTGTAATTTGTGTGTTTTTTAGGCAGCCAACAACCATGTGTTAGCCTCTCCTAAAACACATGGTTTTTTGTCTATTGGAATTCGTGTGTTTTTTAGGTAGCTAACAACCATGTGCTAGCTTTGGCTGAAACACACGGTTGTACAGTAGACAGACTCTTAGTAAAACCAGCTAGACACAGGAACATGTAGTTTTAGACATCACTTTTTTTTCTTGATACTAGCAAATATGCCCGTGCGTTGCAACGGGATATATAACTTGTTGCATTTTGCAAATCACATAGCTATATGTGCGCCACAACAGAAATGGACCCAGCGGTCAGGTCATGACATTAGTCATATATAATGTCAACACTCAATAAACACATATGTCTAGTAATGGAACCTAATATACCGCTTGTTTCACGGTTATGTAGATGCCTTATAGCTTGAAATGACTTTATTACAAACGGCCGTATTTTTATCCAGCCACGCGCACACCCGACGGCCGCCCAACTGGACACCTCCCACATCTCCCCTCTCAGTCCCGACGCCCACGCCCACGCCCGACTCCGGTGGCCGCGCCCCAACTTCGGCGGCGGGTTCCTCCCCACGCGCGCACGTCTCTCTCTCTCTCTCTCTCTCTCTCTCCTTTAGCAGCGTCCAATTTGTTCATATCACATGTTGTTCTGCTTTGCTATATGATTTCGACCTTCACAAAGATACGTATGTTTAGTTCATTCACCACTTTGCTTGCCATCTATCTTTTCATTCGGATACTACGCCCACCCAGATAATATACGAAACATATATTAAGTATAAAAAAATGATACATCACACGTACAAAGCAGCGGTGCAATTACACGACTCCAAAGGCCGTGCGTGGCCACATGCAAAATACGCAGATACTCGCAGGCACGCTACCACCGGTGGCGGTCTGGCGGAGCAAATACAGAGCCAAGGACTCCGATCTCCCTCTCAGCAGCGCCATCACCTTGCTTGCCTTGGTATATATAGTAATAGTAACGGTAACAGAAAAAGTGCATTCTTTTTCAAGAGTAGAAACTTACATTGCCCAAGAGTCTTATCCGATTTAATTCTAAAAAAAGAGTCTTATCCGATTTCTTTTTCGATTTAATTTGATCGATGCACGACTCGTATTAGTCTTTGTACGATGCAAATTATCAAACCGAATTTAACCTATCACGTACTTAAAACCTCTATGTATTATATTAGTTCCTCCGCACGTGCGTATACAGCCCAGAACTCTTCGGTGGCACAGTTCTATTCGTATACAACTATCCCAATAGTAACCGTTGTACAGAAACTCCTTTTGTGTGGTCTAATTTAATATTAGAAGTAAAATAAGATGTTGCCTAAATTCTACTTCTATCTTTTTCTATTTGGGTTAAGATTTCTATTCTATTTGTATCTTTTTTTATTTGGGTTAGGATTTCTATTCAACTTACTTAGGATAGGATCACAGAGATCTATTTTGATTAGGATTTCTAACTTTCTAGGTTACCTTAAGAATTTGTATCCAATACGTGTCATATAAAACAGGAGAGTTGCAGATAGCGAACAGAGTTTCCACATTTACGGGGTTAGTTAGGGGACGAACATATGAGCACAACTTATGAGTCCGGGTCACATACGTGAGCCAATACGTTTTGAAATCGGACTCCGTATCACGCTAAACGAGCTATTTTAACTCGTATGAGTACGGATTATATATAGGTCCGGACGGAAGAAACTCTCTATTGTCCGGTAGTTAGAGAGAGACGGATCAAAAAATTGAACGGACAAAAAAATAGGCTGAAATTTTGCCTCTTTATTATTATTAGGTATAGAATTGCTATGGGTTTGTTCGGTTTCATAGGGATTAGAGGGAGATTGAAAAGGATTGAAGGCTTGTTCAGTTTGGTAGGGAATGGAGGGAGATGAAAAGGATCGAGGGCTTGTTCTGTTAACCCCCTTCTATCATAATCTACTTATTTGGTGCCATATATGTTGTTATTTTTTCATATAAAGTTGGTCATTACAAAAGTTTGACTAAGATAACTCTAAAAGTTGATTTATTTGGAAATGGAAGGAGTAGAAAATAATATTGATATTTATGACTTCAAATAGTCAACGTTCTGAAAATATATTATATAGAAGTCCAGTGATACATATTTAATATGATAAGAATCTTTATGTATAAATTGGTCAAACTTAAGAGATAGAATTGCTTCCTTTGGGAGTGTGGACTTGAATAGAAAAAGGACTAATTAATCAGATATAGGAACCTGTTGTGATTCGCTCTTCACTGCATTGTTGTCAGTGTTGTTGACGTTATGAATCAGAATTCAAACTTCAGTGACCTCAGACTTTGTGCCTTTCTTCTTCCTTCTTCCTTCCACCTCTTTAAAGCTCAAACGTTGAAAAACTTAAAACGGGTAAATGCTTACTGATTGACTTGTGTGGTTATCTTTGATCTGCACATGCCGGGGGTCAGCAGTGCAGACCCCCAGACCACAGAGACGCGGCCGACACGACTCAGGAAGCAAGCAGCCGGGGCGTATCGAGCCGGTAGAGCGCAAGCACCAGACTGCTTTACGCGGGCTGCGGCAGAACACGACCATCAGCATCTCGTGGTTGTCTGGCGCTTGGCAGACATGTTCACAAACCGACAGTAGGAACAAAGAACGTGATAAGATACCTTTGGAGATTTTCACTCTCTAGGAAAGTAATTATAACGAAATTGTTCCTGTATCTGGAACGTGGTCGTTCCCAGCTGCTAAGGTCTGGCGCAGGTGAAGAGCGAAATGCGCTGAATGACTATTACAAATCAAGTATCTACCAGCTTAGATTGACATACTCGCTGGAAAAGTAAAGTCACAGGCTTTTTGCCCAGGTACCCTCTTTCTGCTATGGCCTACAATTCTATAGAAACATCTCCCTCAAAAAAAGTATTAAAAAATAAAACCAGCTCGGCCAATGCTCAACAAGCACTGGATGCCTTTGCGTGTCTCGTTTCAGACCTTCTGATCAAGCTCGGATTGCGATGACAGTACCCCATGCTTCTGAGTTTTCTCACTTGGTGTGGAGTAAACCTGGCGCTCTTTGCCTCCAGGTTTCGACGATGCGTTCCCATACCAGATCATGCCGATCACAGCCAGAAGCATGCCAAGGGCTACATGGAAATTGAGTCCCTCTTTCCCAAAGAAAAGGAACCCCAACGTCAACACAAGAACCGTCTTCATGTGGCCTAGAACTTGGAATGAGACGGCCGTGAATCTTCCGATGCATATGAATTGGCTTAGGTTGGTCCCAACAGCAATTATGCACGACAACACAATAAAGAACTGAAAAGGAAAACATGTGACAAGAAAATAATAAGTCTTGCCCAGGTTGGTCAAGCTTGCGCCAAAGAATGAAAATTTATAACATCAAGCAAAAGAACTATCAAGATCTAAACCATATACCGCTGGTGTAGCATCATCTCAGTGAATTGTGTTAATAGTTTATAAATACTGTAAAGTTAAAAGTATAATATTTCCTATCCTACATGTTCTATATGAAGCAATATGCTGTTTTCTTATGTCCAAACTAAATCAGTGGCATAGTTGCATAGCCAGAATTTCACTATACCCAGGGCAAACTTTAAAGTTTAAACACAAAAGAAATGTAATTGCCTGACACCAACATAATTACCGATATAATCATGTAATAATATCCAAATTACCATGCTTTAACTAAAACTCGGCTACAAGACAATTGAAGTACAACAGCTCCATAATATGTGCAGCAATGACATTTGAAGTTCCTATGAATCCAAAATATGAAAACAGTATTTTGAGCAAAATAACGAGACAAAATTTATAAAGATTAAAAAGTAGCATGTGCCAAGGTTAAAAAGGACAATTGGCCAGCAAACTGCTGCAGCTTGCAGCGTTGCTCACCGATGCCATGCGCTCGCCATGTTCAGCGAATTGAGACAAAGCCGTGTCTTTGTTAGGTCGTTGGCTATTGGGCCGGACCAGCAAGCCTTAGAAAAGCTTTGCAGCTGGCTCATGAAAGGATGAGGGATGCCGCACAACGCATCAGGCACAAGGTCTCATCCATGGCGCAGCAGCTGCTGAACGGCTAAGGGCAGAGCTGCTGTAGTACGTAGAGGTAACTGGGAAATCAGCATAGGTCTATCCAGGGCAGCTGCTCCTTGCCCCTGTGGTGGCTACACCACTGAACTAAACTACTATCAGCATCAAAACCCTGAATATAATTCAGATAAAACAAGGTGGGTCATGTTCAATATATTGCAGCAACCCCTATGTCAGATATCACTACTTAGTCTTCAGTCTTCACACCAAACCCAGAGCATAAGTGTGTGCATTGATATATTCCTAAAGAAAAATATAATTGCTCCCTCCAATCACAAAAGAGATGTTTTTGGGACACATTCAGTCAAAATTAATTTAGAAGGGGCACATGGAATCATAACATTATAAGCGTAGCGACACAAGTTATACTCAAGCATGAGCATATGGACTATGCTAATGACCAAAACATCAAAAACAAAAACTTACGAGAGGATATACAGTGCCAAACTAGCTTGATGAAACAGATGGGTTCCTCTTCCTTGTGACGATTTTGCAGAAGACATAAGCATAAATTATTCAGAATAAGTATCACATACCGTAACTATTGATGTGTAGTTAAAAGCGTCAACTCTTTTATTTGTCAGCCAGAAGTCCACAAAAGGCCCCAATACTAACAATGATGCTGCCTGGGCTGGAGCAGTATGGCCTAAGAGGTTGAATGAGCCAAGCGAGTACTTCCATTGAAGGTGGTGAACATACTGCAGCAAAGAAGAGGATTAACAAGGCTATCATGAAAGGTGACCTATAAGGCTATCATGAAAGGTGAACGGGGGGGCACACGACCAACAGTAGTTAAATAAAGATTAACAAGGTCCAAAAGGTCAAAGTTTGTTTAGCTATTAGTCTATTACCAAACTTCTCTTTGAACTGGGGTAATCAAAGCGGCAGCAGAATACTGGATTATTTTGCTTAGTGTAAAGAAAGGGGTGTGACCAATGTTGAGAAGTCCCACACAAGGTGTGGTCTGGGCAAGGGAATTTCTGGAAAGCCTACCCTTGCATAATTTTGCAAGAAGGCTAGTTCAAACTTCGAACTCAGGAACTCAGACCACAAGTGGACAGGCTCTACCACTGCACCAAGTCCGCCCAAACAAAAAGGAACTTTAGATTTCAGGATACTCACCAGAAAGTTACTAAAATTCTGTGAACGGTACTTTTATCGGAAATTTATAACCGGTAACTTCTAAATTAGAAGCCAAGCTATAAAATTAGGTGCTAGAGAAGGATAACTCCAATCAGGAAAAGATGTCATATACAGTTATATGAACAACAAAGGACAAGTTCTAATATCAGCAATACTCACATGCTGTTGTAGTGCTGTGCTCCAAACAGCTATTACCGCAGCTAATAACCCTTGAGAATCCACACTAACGTCAGTCACTGTACATACAGCAACACCTACCAGGACAAGCACTATACTGAGCTTTGTATCTCTTGAGTAACGAACTTTGTCGAATATGATTTCCAGAATGCATAAGACTGGAATGATACACAACTTTGCAATCTGAAAAAGGCAAGACATACAGTGTTACTATATACTGTATGTTTCACTCCAATATAATTGCAAAATAGCAAAGTTTCTGTCTTCACCTGATAGAATCCAACAGAGTTCCACATCAAACTTACATTCATTCCAACGATTGATAGGTTCGCAAAAAAGGCAAATTTTACTAGTTCTGGTAATGGTAAATAGGATGGCTGAATATATCCCAGCCATTTCATTACTAATGTCATCAAGGTCGTCATTGCAAAATGAAGTCCAGTCAATGTTGTAGCTGTAGAAGCAAACAGTAGTGAACAAATTAGCACAGGGACAATCAGACTGGTTTTCTGCACAATCATAGTTCAATTTTAGACAGAAATGACAACTCGCGTAAATAAGGCATAGTATGCGACTAGGAATGAAGACTAGACAGGCTCTTACCAAAACTAAACCCATGCGTCGCCATTAAGGCTTTGTTGACCATGATGACACCAACAGATGTGACAACATTGAACATCCATGCTCCAGCATCTAGTGCTGCTTTCCTCTCCGCCTTGCTTCCTGGCGCCATATTTTCTTGACATGTAGAGTCTAATCCAATTTTCTACAGGGGCGAAGCCAGTAAAGGAGACGGATGTACACCCAATTTTTGCCAAAAGAAATCGAAGTTAGTAGGCATGTACACACTTGTAATTAGATCAGATCCGGATGCAGACAGCCCAATTGCTTAAGTTAGGGTTCGGCTGCTGGGTTTCTCACGACGGGAAGGGAAGAGAAGCGGCGCGCATACCTGGTGGGTGGGTGCTCGCCGCCGGAGAAGGACCCGACGGGGAACTGGGCACCGGGCGTAGGGCGGCGGCGGCCGCCCAGTTGCCGCACGAGAGCGCGCGCGCGGCACCAGGGTGGACGGGAGAAGAAAAGGCAGGGGTGAAGTCCGGGCGGGCAGTACTCGTATACTGCTATGCTATGGTATACTAGTAGTCCTTCAGTACTCCAGTTCAGTTGGAGAGTTCACAGAAATAACTGTCGTTTTCGTTTTTTGAAAACAACTTTAATTAAATATATAAAAAAGTATTACATTTATGATATAAATAAAATTAATATCACTAGATACATTGTTAAATCTATTTTCATAATAAACTTATTTAAAGATATAAATATTGCATGTATTTTGTACGAATCTAGTTAAATTACGGCATGGAACAAAAAAGATAATAGTTATTTAGGAATGAAGGGAATAGCTCAGTGGTCGTGGCCATCATCGTGTTCATATTTTGCGAATCAGAGCTGCCGGATTAGGAATCGAACGGCTTGGATTTATAGCACTTACTAATTATTTGTATAAAAGCTCTGGTGCTCAAACCCGACGTATACCAGGAAACGTCTATTTGCCCTAATGCCCTTTCATTTTTAGTGTGAAAGTGAAACACTGACTGTGATAACGTCGACACTGATACCGCTAGATTAGAGCCAGGATTCGACCGACAGGATTGTGTGTGATCTTTTAATCACTCATCAAATGGGTCACTTTATGTCAGTCAGAGCCCAACCCACTCTACACGTACCCAATACCCAATATGAATTGTCTGGAGTACACGCAAGATTACTCAAAAGGCACTAGCTCGTCCAAAAAAACGTTTTTCCTCCGTTCTAAAATAGTTGATGTTTTAGAAAATTCTAAGATAGATTAGTGCTCTGTGCAGATTACCTAGATACCTCTATTCACTAAAATTGTTCCATGCTAATTAAAAGGACTTGGTATATCGAAGCAAGCATACGTAGTCGTACAAATCGTTATTGTTAAGAAAAATAAGATCAACTTAGAAGGAGTTAGGTGGCTTTTCAATACATTGTGTTTTTCGCCACTCCATTAGCTTAGTGGCAAATCGACTCAATGGATATTTACACAAAACAAATTGTTGTAGCCAACTTTTGGGTTTGACCCACTAAAATCTCCATATGACTAGTGATTTTGGTGCTACTAGTCCATTAGCGTCCAGTGCCGTCCACCACTAACGAAGCTGCAATGCTACTTCACGTGTGCGCTAAAGATCGTGCTGGTGTTGGTTCAAAAGAAAAGGAATCGTGCTGGCTGCTCACATGGAAGCAACTTTGACGATTTCATAGCGTTTTATGGGCATTAAATATACTAACGTGGCATTATATTGATGAAGAGAGATATAATAAAAGTTTCATGAAAATAGAGATAGGTTCGTATGGATGAAATTATTCTGCATTGTTTCTAAAATATGGTTGGAAGCTGATCCATGAAACCCCTATTAAGACTGGCCTTATGAAACACTAGTAGTGTGCCCGTGCTAACGCTACGGTGACATTTCAGTGATGCACATTAAAACAACCAAATGACGATATTTCTTTCCATAGTTACCACAATACAGGAGACAATACCATTATAAACAGTAGTAGTGCCCTCATCCGTATGAATGATGACAGACTTCTCATTGGCACGTATCGTGTGTTTAAAACCATTCTCTATTGAAATCATTTGATGAACTATATATGATGAATATGAATGATGGTATAATATTCTAGCTCCTCTGCTGTCCCTGCCGTTCTCTTCCCTGCCTCCCCCATTCCCCTCCAATTCCTGATACGCCAGCGAAACGAGCTCCTCCGTCTCTGTCGATCTGCCGGCAGTGGGCAACGAGCTCCTCCATCTCTATCGATCTGCCAGCGGCGGGCGTCGATCCGGTGGTAGCTCCTCCTCCATATCTATCCGAGCTCCGCCCAGCTCCAACAGTGCACATGACGCATTTCTTTCTTCTATAGATGGATACTCAATAAACTAAATTTGAAAGAATGAACACCATACCAACAGTGCTTTCACGTAGTTCCATTCCCCAAACAATAGTCCCTGCACATAAATCTGCAAATGTTCAGTAATCATGTAACTGAACATCCTCGCAAATGTTTAGTAAGATTCAGGTGAATTTTCCAATTATATGTTTCTTCTACAAGAAAGGGCGTACCCAGTGCAGAGAGCTCCCGCTCTGTGCAGGGTCTGGGGAAGGGTGTTAGTGGCAAGCCTTACCCTCGCCTGTGCAATGCGAGCCATCATCGCTGTTGCAGGGCAGATCGGATCAGGATATACCCATGCTAACGCTACGGTAAAAGCTAAAAGACAATATTTTTGTGCGCATTTGGGCTAAATGTATCCCTAATGCTAGTCTGAACCTAAGGCAGTGAGGCAAGACGAAATGTTCAAGAAATATGATACTTACATTCAGCCGAATGACGACATAGTCTAACTGAAAGCAGTTTGAGCCTCTAGCCCTACTACCATCATGTTTCATCACTCAAAAGTACAAAGCTAGGATCCGGTAGATCTAGTTGTCACCGGGATATTCGAACATACATGACAGAATCGTATTACATTTATCAATCTAACATGGATCACATCTTCTCACTCTGCATCCTCTATCTCAGCATCCTCTGGAACGCCTCAGAGATACAGAACGTTGTTGCACCTGTATGTAGATGTACAAACATAAAATTGAATCATATACAATTCAACAGGGCCAAATGATTATGCAATTCAACAGGGCTTTGTTTGATCAAATACTATCGGCCAAAGATCCAAGTTGTAAAAAGTTCACACCAATTTAAGTTTTGAAGCCCTAGCCTTCCTTCACATGTAACTTGATTAACAATACCATAGTACTAAGTATCAGTACTTGGAGTAGGGCAGCAGGATGACAGGATGTATGCTAGTTTTTCCTAGTTTTATATCTAGATTTATTACAAAACAACACTACTTGACATAAGCTTGAAAGAAGGGAACAAGAAACATTACTTTATCAGATCTCTCCCAGGTTTCTAGAGAATTGCCCATGAATGTACTCCTCGGTGTTGGCAAGCTGCACGCAGTAGAAAAAAAGGCAGCAATGAATTTTGTATGTCTGTTTTAGTAAAAGTTATTTAACAGAATAAATTAGGAGATACTTATGTGTGCAGTAGATTATTCAACACTAATTTACGGCTAGCATAGTGTATTCTGTTCTTTTAAAATATTAGACACAAAAGTCAAATTATTGAAACAGCAACTGCTAAAAAAGCAGTCCATGGCTATAAATTCCAAGTCCAACTCATAACGTCCTGTGAACTGATGCAATTGGTCACCTCACCAAAAGTAGGTTCATACTCATGAGTCGTGACAGATCCAAAAAACAATGAAAGAAAATGAATCAATATATAGTGAAGGGGAAATTCAGCGGTAGATTTTTGGCAAATACAACTGAAAGAGATAACAACGTCCATCCAGCTACCAAATTACCCCGTCAGGGCCCCATAAAAATAATTCTCACTTGCTCCCGGTAGCAAAAATTGGCGAGCACCATGGCCTGCTACATATCCCAAATTCTCAGCCACAACAAAGAAAAAAATATCACATGTGCTGCAATTTTCTCAATCATGAATTAGCAGCATATACCTCTGCGACAAGCCAACCCTCACCTCCGCTGCAGCAGCAACAGTGGCTCGTCACCGCCCATCCCCACAGGAGCAGCTCGGGTTAGCACCGTGACAGCTGCAACGGCGGTGGCCCCGCCCGGCTTCGTGCCCCGCCGCATCCTCGCGTCACCCGGCAGCGGCCTCGCCCGGCAGCGACGGCGGCACAGCGCGCGGGAGGAGAAGGGTCGGAGATGGATCTGTAAGAGAGAGGAGGGCGACGGGAAAAAGAGAGGAACCTCCGCGCTGTGCTCGCTTGGGTGAGGTCGCCGGTAGCGCTCCTGCCCTTCGCGGCGGAGGCTGTGCTCGCTCGGGTGAGGTCGTCGGCAGCGCTCCTGTCCGTCGCGGCAGAGGCGGAGGATGTCGCGCGCCGGCGTAGGCCGTAGGGCCTGACGGCGATTTGTTTCATTTTTCTCTTTTTTCCGGTGCTAGCCGGGTTCGCGAGGCACGGCGGCGTGGGATTCGATCACTGGCCGCCGAGGGAGCGCGGAGGGCTGAGCGCGTGCAGCGTGCGAGGAGGGCGCGGGGGTGAGAAGCCTGACATCCCACATCTAATCGTGGTCATCGGATTTGGTTTAGGTGTTTTATTAGCCCTTGATTTTAATGCAGATGAATTACTGTATGCATTTTCCTGGGTGCACAATGGTTGGAGGCTCTCAGCGGGGGACTTTTTTTTTTGGGGGGGCCTAGTACAATTTTGATTGGTCTATTATAGTAGAGATGTATGATGGTTTTTTAATCTACCGCTGTACTATCTCCATCTCAAAAATAATACAATTCTATAGTTTGACTAAATATATAGATGAAAATATAAACATTCATGACACCAAATAAGTATGCTATCAAAATATATATCTTATGACAAATCTAATAATGCTTAACAATATGATAAATACTACTCACTTTTTACTTTTTATATATATAGGTAGTCAAGCTCGAGATACTTTGACTTAGTACTTGTTTTTTTCCTCGGCGGATGGAGTAATAATTAGAGTGTGTTTAGTTTTGAGGAACGAGATGATTCATCTTCTTCTCGCTTCTCACTCTTTTTGTTTGATTTGTGGAATGAAATTGATTGATCCACACCATCTCATTCATCGTAAA